ATACTGTGACTCACATGATGGACCAGGTCCAAGACTGAGTTCATTTGTCATTCTTCAAAACTTCACCTGAACATGGGCCAACAGATAGGTCATTGTTCTAAGATGAACAGTGTTGATGAAGCATTAAAGGACCTAGATTTATACACATGGGATAAGCAACAAAAGTACCCGGAGTTTGGGCATATGACCTCAATAACAATAAATCGAAGTAGGAATTATGGTATAGTATGACCTACCTAGATGCAGTAAAGTCATACGAATGGATAACTGGGTCTATGAAATAAGATATAGCAATATTCGTAAGTTAAACAAAGCATCGAGCAAAGAACTTCAGTATACCTATAGAGGCCCAAAGAGACATCTTATCAATCTTTGTATATTCTTACAAAGTGAGGCCAAGAGATTGGCTAAAAATTGGAGGAAAAAGGAGAGAAGAGTCGCATAGGCGCACATACAACGAAAAAGTCGTACAGACTGCATGACAAAAGATAGCAAGAGTTACGAGATTGGAAGAATTCTTACCCTAGACCATGGTGTGAGGAAGAGGCCTAAAGGGGGGAATGCCCTGGCCTTTGGATTTATTTAAAGAACGGTTGCCTAAATGGCAAGAAGAGTATTAAAGTATTCGCAAGAGCTATGGGTTATGAGAATAATAAGTGCATTAGTCAAGATTCGAGGACAAATGTTCTAAAGGGGGGAATGATGTTACACCCCATGTTTTTGTACGTGGAAGTACGCCATAAATATGTTGATACAAGCACGGAAATGAGATGTTACATTCCGTATTTTCGTATGTTAAGGTTTCGTCGTAATCTAATTGACGTAAGTTCTTGAATGAGATTTATTTTGGGATTATAAGTATTACGCTATTTCGAACAAGTGATATGTCAATTTGCGAAGGTGAGAAGGTAAGCAAATCAAAGAAAACGAAATTCGTCAAAGTTTGACATTTTGGGATAAAATACGGTCCAAGCTATAATACCGATATTTATGGACTAGTACCATACAAGGTACCATATGACCATGATAGTATGACGTATAAATTGTATTAAAGATGAGAAGTATTTTAAGTAATTTGAGACAATTCATAATTATGCGGGTAATTGGTTAATTACCGGGTAACGAAACATTACCTAATTAACTAATAAGTTGGATAAAGATTACAATTCCCACCCCCCACGTGGCAGCAAGCCACATATTATTCAAGTGACTCTTAGTAATACTAGGTAAGGTGTATATGTAAAGTGATGTACATAAAAAGAATAAGACATCACGTGTAAGACTTCAAAGTTTGGCTTAATTAGAATCAAAATCAGAAAGACTTGAAGTTGCTTCATCCAAATCATATAACCTTTTCCTAAATTCAAACATTTCAAAAGAAATGATCTAGTAAGCTTTAAACGAAAGCTTTCAATCCAGTTAGCTTTCGATAATTTGTAGCTCCTTTCAATGAAAGCTTTTAATCCAGTAAGCTTTCAACGAAAGTGTTATATTACTCAATCCAGTAAGCTTTCAACAGAAGAGTTATACGGATCAGAAGGTTTGCGATGTTGCATTAATGGTTGGAGAGCGAGTCTTTCTCTAGGTTTCACCCATGAAGGGTGTGATGAGGTTTGGGAAGAAGGGCAAGTTGAGCCCTAGGTATATCAGACCTTTTGAGATCCTTGAGAGGATTGAGGATGCGGCCTTAAAGCTTGCCTTGCCACCTAATTTATCTTTGGTTAATTCGGTTTTCCATGTCTCTATGCTCCGAAAGTATTATGGTAATCCGTCTCATGTTCTAGACTTCAACACAATCCAGCTGGACAGGGATTTGACCTACATTGAAGAGCATGTGGCTATCTTGGACAGACACGTTCGGAAGTTGAGATCAAAGGGTATCACTTCAGCGAAGGTTCAATGGAAGGATCATCCGGGCGAGGAGGCAACCTGGGAGTCCGAGCATGACATGTAGAGTTGTTATCCTCATCTTTTCACCGCTTTAGGTATGTCCTTATGCACGTTCGAGGACAAACATCTGTTTAAGAGGGGGAGAATGTAACGACCCGATCAATCTTTTTGGGTAATTATGCCTCATTTCCCTTTTCATGCTTCAAACATGTGTGTTTATGCTTTTATGACTGGAGGGGTTGGTCAGTTTTGTTCTGGGAATCTTTCAGGTTGATTTAGACCCTTGATTCCTCACTTAGAAGTTAAATTGAAAATGTTGACCAAATTTGACTTTTGTGAAAATGACCCCGAAACTGTGTTTTTATGGCTTCAATAGCTTTGTATTGTGATTTTGGACTTGGACGTATATCTGAAATTGATAATGAAAGTCCGTTGGTGGAATTGTGTTGATTTGCCGAAACTTTGCAATTTAAAGGTGAATAGTTTGACCGTAGGTTCAATTTTTGCTAACGAGCTCAGAATTTGATTTTGGGACATGGAATAGGTCCGTTATGGCATTTAGAACTTATCTGCAAAATATGGTGTCGTTTGGAGTTCATTTGATAAGATTCGGTTGTTTAGTTGTAATTCTAGAAGTTCTTAAAAATTTCCTTGAATTTCATGCATTTTAGAGTTCAACTCATAGTTTTAGATGCTATTTTATGTTTCGATTGCACGAGCGAGTTTGTATGATGTTTTAGGACTTGTGTTGATGTTTGGATGGCCAATAAGACTGCCTCACTTTGCGGCCAAAATGCGGCCCACAGAGTGATTTTGTCGCCGCATAATGGGCTGCAGAAACACACACTTCCGCAAAACATTTTCCTTTAATTCTGTAGCATACTGTTCAATCCAAAAAGTCCGAACCGCAGCTCGCTTACTACTATAACACATAGATTTAACTTGGCACCACGAAATTCTGGGTTTTAGGTAAAATTTTACGGGGCCTTACATGGAAACAGGCACACCATGCAACCGAACAATCTCCTGAATGTAAATCTGGGCCAATCTCTACAATATGTGGTCACAACCGGAATGAAGTGTGCCGACTTGGTCAACCTGTCGACAATTACCCAAACTGCATCAAACTTCCGCAAGGTCCGCGACAACCCAACTATGAAGTCCATAGTAATGCGCTCCCATTTCCACTATGGTATAATCATCTGCTAGAGTAGGTCACCCGGCCTCTGATGCTCCTACTTAACTTGCTGGCAATTTAGGCACCTCGCTACATACTCAACTATGTCCTTCTTCATCCGCCGCCACCAATAATGTTGTCTTAGGTTGCGGTATATATTCGTAGCACCTAGATGAATAGAATATGAACTGTGTGTTTCCTCTAGAACCTTTTCCCTCAATCCATCCACATTAGGAAAACATAGACGACCCTGGAGTGCATATTACCATCATGACTAATAGTAACCTCCTTGGCACCACCCTATAGTGCCGTCTCTCTGAGAACCAATAGGTGCAAATCATCAAACTCACGAGCCTTGATCTGCTCGAATAGTGAAGACTATGTGATGACGCATGCAAGAACTCGGTTGGGCTATGAAATATCCAACCTCAAAAGTACGATAGCCAAGGAATGAATGTCCAAAGCTAATGGCATCTACTCTGCTGAAATGAATGCAAACTACCCATACTCTCCGCCTTTCTGTTCAAGGCATCCGCAACCACATTCGCCTTGCCCGGATAATAAAGAATCGTAATATCATAATCTTTTAGTAACTCAAGCCACCTGCGCTACATCAAATTGAGATCCCTCTGCTTGAACAAATGCCATAAGTTGCGATGAGCGGAGTAAACTTCACAGGACACCCAATATAGATAATGCCTCCAGATCTTAAGAGTATGAACAATCACGGCCAACTCCAAATCATGTACATGGTAATTCTTCTCGTAGGGCTTCAGCGAACGTGAAGTATATAACTCGCCCCTCCTACATCAATTCATAACCCAAACCAATGCATGAAGAGCAATACACAGTATACATCCCTGAATCGGAAGGCAACACGAACACCAGTGCTGAAGTTAATGCAATCTTGAGCTTCTAGAAGCTCACCTCACAATCATCGGACCATCGGAACGGAGCACCCTTCTAGGTAAATCAAGTCAAAGGTGTTGCAATAGATGAGAAGCCCTCCACAGACCGGCGATAATAACTTGCTAACCCCAAGAAGCTCCTGATCTCAATTGTCGTGGTAGGACGAGGCTAACTCTGAACTGCCTCAATTTTCATGGGATCTACCTTAATACCCTCACTAAATACACCATGCCCCAGGAATTCCACAGAATCTAATAAGAACTCACACTTGGAAAACATAGCATATAGCTTCTGATCCCGCAATGTCTGAAGCACTACTCTCAAATATTGCTCATGCTCCCCAATACTACGTGTGTAGATCAAAATGTCATCAATGAAGACAATGAAAAACGGATCAATATATGACCTGAACACCCGGTTCATCAAATATATAAGTGTCGTCGGGGCGTTAGTCAAATCGAAGGACATCACTAGAAACTCTTAATGGCTATATCTAGTTCGAAAAGCCGTCTTCGGAACATCCGAATCCCGAATCTTTAGCTGATGGTACCTCGATCTCAAGTCAATCTTAGAGAACACCCTGGGACCCTGCAACTAGTCAAAAAGATCATCAATACATGGCAATGGGTACTTGTTCTTAGTAGTAACTTTGTTCAACTAGCGATAATCAATGCACATCCGCATAGTCCTATCTTTCTTCTTTACGAATAACACTGGTGCACCCAAGGCGTCAGACTCGGCCTAACAAACCCCTTTGCTAGTAACTCCTCAAGCTCTTATTTCAACTTCTTCAACTCATTTGGAGCTATACGGTATGGTGGAATAGAGATAGGCTGGACTCCTAGAGCCAATTAAATACAAAAATCAATATCACGATTTGGTGGCATGCTTGGAAAATTAGAAAGAAACACATCACAAAACTCCTGGACCACGACCAATGAATCAATCACCGGAGTTTCTATAGTAGTATCCCTAAGATAAGCTAGATAAGCAAAACAATCCCTCTCCACCATGTGACGTGCCTTCAGAAAAGAGATAACCGGCTAGATACACTGACAAACGAACCCTTCCACTCCAATCTAAGTAGCTCAGGCATCACCAAGGTCACAGTCTTGGCATGACAATCAAGGATGGAGTGATATGGTGATAACCAGTTCATGCCCAGGATGATCTCAAAGTCGTTATTGAAATAGAATATCTGCTCTAGTCTCATACCACAGAAAGTCATGACACAGGGCAGATTGATCCGATCCACAAAAAGAGAATCACTCACTGGCGTGGACACATATACAGGAGTACCCAAGGACTCACGATGAACACCTAGGAAATTAGCAAACAGAGATGAAACATATGAATATGTAAGCCGTGGATCAAATAATACTGAAGCATCCCTACCGCAGACAGAAATAATACATGTGATCGGCATCTTAGGCCACTATATCTAGTCTAGCTGGAAAAGCATAGAACCTAGCTGGAGCACCACCTGACTGGCCTCCACCTCTAGGACGGCCCCTACCCATTTTCCCTCCGCCTTTGGGCGGCCGGATGGCTGGTGTGGCAGTCGGTGCCATAATCACAGGCTGCTGACCCTGCTGCACTGCCTTGCCCTAAAGCCTGGGGCAGAACCTCCTTACATGACCAAGATCCCCGCACTCGAAACAACTTCTCGTTACGGTGGACTGCTAACTTGAAGTTTGACCCTGATGGCCTGAAGGCCCACTAGAGGAACCCTGAATAGTTGGTGGACGGTAGGATCTCTCTGGAATGGCGCTGAAATAAGGCCACACAGGAGCACCCTAAGGAGGCGGCCGTGGTGGATATGTGGTCTTGCTAGATTGACCCCTCACAAACTAACCTATGTCCCCCGCCCAGATACGATTGCAAGCGAGATAATTGTCTTTTCATCATAGCTGCATCTCTTTTTGGGAGACGGTTGAGTCTCCCTGATTTTGTTCCATTCTCAAGTCCCTGAACTTATGAAGTCTTGTTTCGGTAGTGGACCAATTTGTTAACATACCGCCAAGCCACTTTTTATTAACATAATGACACCGGGCCCTTATTGCAGCCCACTCTACTAAATCAGCTGCTTTATTTTTGGTACCAATAATTAAGAATTGTTTTCCCCTACTTGTTGCCTCAAAAACTAAATCACAAGCTTCTGATAATAAACGAGAAGTTCTAGTAAGATTTATAATATGAATACCCTTAAGCTTTGCAGAGATATAAGGCGCCATTTTAGGATTCTATTTCCTAGTACCATGACCAAAATGAACTCCTGCCTCCATCATCTCTTCCAAATTTATGTTCCAATATCTCCTTGTCATTTCTCCCCACACCCTCCCCCCCCCCCTTTTTTTTAATTCTTTTTCAAAAAAAAAAGACGAGGAACCCTGAACTGAAATAAATAATTGTTCCGATGGAACCTTCTCTTCTACCATAGATTGGACGTAGATACACGACCCAAACCATTATTCTTTTCTATTCATTATTCTTTTTATTACCAAAGCAAATAACCATACCAAATGCAGATAGCGAAAGAGATGAATCCGTTATTAGTACTGCCTGGCGGGCTGTTAGCTAGTGTGTATCATCTTACGAGAATAGAGGATGGTGTAGATCAACCAGAGGAGGTATGCATAAAAGTATTTGCTTCTAGGAGGAATCCTAGAATTCTATCTATTTTCTAGGTTTGGAAAAGTGTGGATTTTCAAGAACGAGAATCATATGATAAGTTGGGAATCTCATCCACATTTGAAACGTATCTTAATGCCTGAAAGTTGGATAGGATGGCCCTTACATAAGGATTATATTGCCCCTAATTTTTATGAAATACAAGATGCTCATTGAATGATAAAAAATCTATTTCCACTTCGACAATTTCAGATATTCAAGGATTGCACGTTCTGTTCTAGATTAAGCAGGTCTAATTTAGGGAATTATAGATAGGCTAACAGAAAAAGACAATTAGGGATTCTTTGGAATTCTCACATTTATTTGGAAGATACTTATTTCGGATGGGTCACACCAATAGGATTAACCAAATGAGTTCTGCATCATGAACTTTGTACTGCACACATTACTTAGACGGGTTCTAGAAAGGCATATAGGAAGGAATGGAGAAATCCGGAATGAAGAAATCGAATATGAAAGAAAAGACAAAGAAATGAGAGAATATCGAATTCTATTTCTTTGGATCTGAGCTGAATCTTGTCTATTTCAACCCCCCTAGATTCAGATTCGACTTTTGAGCCTTTCAACAATTAACCAACTTGGTAAAATGAAATGGTTGAATAACTGAAAAAATTAGATTATTCAGGAATACACGTTGAATGCTGAGATTATGCATTGAATTTCTTGTAGTAGATCCATAATCAAAAAAGTGATTGTGATTGTTCTAGAAGAAATGAAAAAAAAGATACGGTAGAGCTAGGACAGTTGTTGATGCTTATATCGATCAATCATAGAAGAAAAATTAGTATTGGTTCTGATTAAGCTTCCTTCCTATTAATCTAGAAGTTCTTCTCAGATACAAGGAAATGATTTAATCCTCTAGAATATCGAAATCGCTTATCTCTCGTCACCTGATTTCGGCTCCGCTGAAGAACACCCACAATCATCCTAGCAATCTCTACAACTAGCTCGTACGAAGTGCTCACCTCTCGGGCCATAGTGGCCTAGATACCAGAGTGCAAACCCATAACGAACGTCCGCACTCTTTCTACATCAGTAGGAAGTATCATAAGTACATGGCGAGACAACTCGAAGAATCTCGCCTCATAGTCGGTCATCGACATCTGACCCTGCTGGAGCATCTCGAACTTAAATCGCAACTCTTCCCTCTGAAAGGGTGGAATGTATCTATCTAAGAAGCATCGTGTGAATTGGTCCCAAGTCATGGAAGGAGAACATGCTGGTCTGCTGAGAAGATACGACTACCACCATCTACGGGCCCTACCCTCCAGCTGAAAGGTGGTAACGTCCACCCCCTGGGACTCTAATATCCTCATGTTGTGCAGTCTATCCCTACACCGATCAAATCGGTGTTTCATGGTATATTCTGGCTTGGTTTCGCTGGGTAGTATTAATTGAGTGAAGTTTAATAATGTACATGATTTCCGTTTACTTTGGTTTGAGATTTAAATATTGTGGAGAAGTTTTGAATTAAACTGTGAAATTTCTGTTCTTACTGTATAATTGGTACTGATATGGTGGGATCAGGTTGCGTGCTGCAACAGGAGGAATAAAGGTGATGTATTGAGGAGGAATGAGAGTGAAATATGATTATATGGTGGGGTCGGGTTATGCACCGCAACAGGAGGAATAAGAGTGATATATTAAGGAGTAATAAGGTGAATTGCTATTGTACGGTGGGATCGTGTTGCATACCGCAACAGGAGGAATAAGGGTGGATTAATATGGAGTAATAAGGGTGAATGTTCAAATTGTTACTAATTATATGGTGGGATCAGGATGCGCACCGCGTAAGTTTATGTGTTTATATATCTTTCTTCTACTGTGTAGGTTATTCTGTAGTTTTGTATCTCACTTAAGGATTAGTTATAGCTGGGTACTAGCAAGATATTTGAGTCGCATATTCATTCCTTGCAAGTTACTGTTTCTTTTTGTTTCATACTTCTTTCCGCTTTATTACATACTGTATATAGGTTATATTATATTTACCCCCCTGTAGCCTCGTCACTACCTTGTCGAGGCTAGGCTCAACACTTACCAGTACATAGGATCGTCTATACTGATACTGCACTCTGCCCTTTCTGTGCAGATTTTGGAGCAAGTAGTGGCTGATTGAGGGATTGGCCACAGGTTCACAGTTTGGAGACCCAAGGTAGTCCTGATGGCGTCCGCAGGCCCTGGCGTCTCCTTCTACATTTCTACATTACTGTATTCTTTCTTTTCAAAACTGTTATAATTTCTTTCAGACTGATGTTTGTAGAAAATCCTAGTATGTTTGTTAGGTTTGACACCGGATACTGGGTAATAATAGCTATAATATTGGTAATAGTATATATACAATGAGACTCCTTACCTACATTCTCAATTATTTCTACTTGTTTAAGTTTGTTTACTCGTAAACAATGAAAAGTAAAGAAAATTGGTTAATAACACTCTATCATTTGCTTGCCTAGCAAGTGTGATGTTAGGCTACATCACGGTCCCGAGGGTGGGAATTTCGAGTCGTGACGGTGCTTTTGCTATTTCATGACTTGCGTGGATGGTTAGTTCGGGCTTGGAAGGGTTTAGGTTGAAATCATAACAATTAGTTCCTTAATATTGGCTTCAAAAGGGTTAAGTTTGACTTGGGTCAACATTTCTAGTAAACGACCTCAGAACCGGGATTTAATAGTCCCAATAGGTTTGTATGATGATTTTGGACTTGGGCGTATGTGCGGATCAGATTTTCGATGACACAGGAGCGTTTCGACGCATAAAGTTGAAAGTTGGCACATGGAAGGTTTTAAGGTTCTTTAAATTTATTTTGAATATGGTTTTGGTGTTATCGAGGTCCGTTTGTGATCCAGATCCTGGGAATAGTTATGTATTAAGACTTGCACGCAAAATTTTGTGTCATTCCGAGTAGTTTAAGTCCGATTTGGCGCATTTGGAGTCAATTGGAAGAACTTGAAATTCATAAGTTGATTCTATATGGTTTTGGTTTGTGATCCTTAGTTTTAATGTTATTTTCCATGTTCTTAGGGTAGGACGAGTCCGTTTTATATTTAATTACTTATAAACTTGTTGGTATATTTGGGCGAGGCCCTAGGGACCTTGGATGATTTTCGGACGATGTGCGGAACTCTTTTAGACTTGGAGAAATGGCTGAAGTAGTAGAGCTTCTGGTGCAATCGCAATGGCGAGGAGCTAGCTGCAGGTGCGAGCTCCTAGACTTGAGCCAACAATAGCCGAAGCAATTTTGGGCGAGCTGGAAGTGGCCCACATAAGCGAACTTGCTTTTGCGAGGAAAGGGCGGCAGGTGCGAAAAGGGTCTGCCAGGCCTGGGTCGCAGATGCGAGAGGCAAGCAGCAGAAGCAGGCTCGTACAAGCAGTGTCCTTTTCGCGGTGCGCCGAATGCTGGGCTGGGCACGTTCCGCAAAAGTGGACCTTTTTCCATTGAAGTGGTGTCGCAGATGCGACTCATGGTCCACAGAAAAATTGTTGGAGGCAGAAGGGTTCATTTTAGACGGGAGTTAGACCATTTTGGCTCATTTATTTCACTTCTTGGGCGATTTAGGAGCTTCTTAGAGAGGGGTTTTCACCTAGATATTGAAGGTAAGTAATTTCTATCCAATGTAAGATAAATACATTGATTATGGGTAGATTTTAGCATGAAAACTTGTAAGAATTATGCGTTTAGTTGAAAAACCCTAGATTTTGATAACAATGGTATTTAACCACGAAAATGATTGTGGAATTGGGTGAAAATAATATATTTGAGTTCGTGAGGTTATGGGTAAGAATTACCTCAAAAATTTTTAGAATCCGGGCACGTGGGCCCGGGGTTGAATTTTAGGAATCTTCCAATTTGGGTTGGGTAATTACTCTAATAGTTAAATTAAGAACTTTTGAACATGTGCCGATGGCCCCTTTTTCTCGCGAAATCGGGTTTACGACATTTGGGCAGACAACCCTTTTCCATTTGGGAATTGGATTTGAGATTTAGAAGAGTCGCCACCAAATGATTAAGTGCATTAGGACACTAAGAAAGAAATAAAAAGAAGAAGAACCAGAGAATGGGAAAGGGCTTGAAATTATCTCAGGGGGAAGGTGTTAGGCACCCCCCAAGATCCAATAGTGTGCTTCCCGGCCATGCTATAGTTGTGACTTTACATATAAACAACGAATAAACATACAAGACAATTCTCACATAACGATTGCAAGTAGGGGAAGTAAAGTTAAATAAACGAGCTGAAATTTGGGACTAGGCGATTTCATAATTTACTTAAAGAAAATACAAGTGCAGAAAAATGGGGGTCGAATAATTGATACAACTAATCAAACAAAGGGATGAAATGGGGCGGAAATTTGAGAGAGAAAAATAGTACTGAAAATTTAAAGAGATTTTAAATGATTAAAGCATAGGACGAGGTTTAAAAGAACTGAAAACTGACAGTTTTAAAAATTCTGAAAGAATGAAGTAAACACATAAAGAGGGAGGGGGGTCCTAAGATTATAAATAACATGAATCACCCACGCAACACCCGGTAACCAATTATACACG